TGGGCTGCCATGGGAACGGGAAACCTGCTCCCCACCCCCTCTCTCCCCTTGAAACCACCCTCCAGGATCTCTCCAATTACTGATCCTGCTGGGAGCTCCCGCCAGAGCACGTCAAGACAGCCGGCGCTGTTGGCTCTTGGAAGGGCATTTCACCCCCAGACAGCCTGGGCGTGTCTCTGTGCAACTAGGAGAGGACTCATAAACTCCACACCTACCCTGGTGAGTGAGTTATTACCCTGGCCCTGGGACCCATCCTGGCTAGGAAGAGGCTGAGTCTGAAATCTGCTCTTAGCCGCCTAAGTTTCACAAAACTGCCTGTGACCTCCCCATCCCATCTCTTCCTCACAGCCTTAAGTTTAGGGGCGTGCGTGTAGGTGTGTGTGTGCACACGCCTCAGGGACAGAGTGAAACGTGTCCTGTGGTGTAAGAAGCCTGCCTGCCTGTGTATGAGAGGATGGGTAGAAGAGTAAATATGAGAAACTGCACGCGTGTTCGCATGCATGTGCCTGGGGACCTTGGGTGTGGCCGGAGCCCCTCTACATACATTTCTTGCTTTGCCAGCTCTCAGGGCACCCCAGGTGCCCCCCAGATCTTGCTCCTGGCTAGCCCAGAGACCCTGCTGCACCTGAGCAGAAGGGAGTCGATTGCCTGCCCCAGGCTTTCTGCCCCAGCTGAGCTGAGACTCACCAGGTCCTGAGCTTCCCAGTTTGGGGTTGTGTCTTGGAAAAGGATAAGGGACCCCGTGGGACAAAAGAGATCTTTTATTCCATGTGGCTCCTGGTCTAACTCAAAACCTGCTTTGGGAACTGGAGTAAAGATGAGGGGAGTCTGGAGGACCTGAATTGTTGTAACATTCCTTACTCCGGGGATTCCCACCCTCCTGTACCGGCTCTCAGGGTGGACTCAGAAACCAAGGGTTGGGACCAGCAGTTGTAATGGCTATGTCGCTGGACTCTCACGTAGCCAACCGCGGTTCAAGTCCCGGACCCAGTGGCTTAAACTCATGCCGGGTGCATGTGCGTGCATGCCCAAGATCCCAAGAGGCGATTGGAGGAGAAGGGATTGAGGTGTGGCCATCCCCCCAGGGGGTGATTTCTCACTTTCTGTCTCCCTCTGTCTTTCTGGCGAGTGCACATGCCCTATAGCAAAAACCTTTCCAAAAAAAAAAGAAAGAAACCAAGGGTTGAAAAGGCCTTGTTTGCAGAAGGGGGAGGCCTCTTCCCAGGCTCCGCCCCTTTAGTGAAGTAATTTACAATAGTAGTGGGCTGGCCTCTGGCCTTTGTGGAAAGAAACTGGGGGGCAGGCGTAGGAGGCATGGCGGGAGCA